TCTGATGCTTGAGGATCAATCAAAGGTGTATTCCTTTTCATTTTTATATTTAGAGCTGGCATGCTAAATTTATTTCCTCTGCATCAAAGTTATTAAAATTTTCTAAAGATTTTTGAGTGTGGTGTCTACTATTAGTTTATCGAGAAGAATAGGATTTCAAATTTACATTAATTGTGGCATCCTATGATATACCATATATTATTATTCGTATTTTTCAAACTATTCATCTTTTATCTAACATTAATAATAACATTTAGACATGAATTTTCATATTTGTAGATTTATCTCTTCTCATTTTTTAAATAATTTATAACCTAATACCCTACTCAATCATTGCTTCTCTTGAATTCTAGAATAATTGTGGTACACATATTTGTTGTCAATAATGGGATGTTGGATATTTAAGCATGGCATTTTAATGTAAACTTTTCTTAAACAATGGGAGAACAAGATAAAAAGTTAATACGGAGAAAATGAATAAAGATCCACAAAACTGTTCCATTGAAGAAATAAATATTAGGTATTTAAGAAGAAATCTTATAAAACTCATCGCACTTGGCCTCCCAAGCAAAATCTCAAAACAAAACCTTACAAAAAAAATCAAAATAATTTATAGTAACCTATAAGTATTATTAGTATGAAGGTGATTTAATTCAATAAATAAAAACTGTTTTCACCAAAATGTTTAAGAATGTCTAAATCATGAATAATAAAGAGGTAAGACCCACCAAAATCAATAAGAAAATTGACACCAGAAGATGAAGGTATTTACTGTGAGAAGTGTAGATTAGGCTATATGCAACTGCCTAATCATACAGATCTCACAAACACTTTAAGCATGATGGAAAAACACCACCATCTAAGAATAAATTTCACAAAATTTTACATTTAATGGGAATGAAGCTTATTGCTAAATTGAAATCCCCATTCCACAAGATGAGAATTTGATGAAAGTTTTAATTAAAGTAATTAGTTGGAATGTTGGATCATTAAAACAAAAGCTCATGAGGAAATAAAATCACAAACAGCACATCTTATTTATCTCTAAGAAGTGAGGAATTAGAGCATATAAGAATTTGTTAAATATAAATATTACTACAGCAAGAGGGATACTACAAACTCTGGAGGTATAATTACAGATGTACATAGGAAATTCCAAAGCAGAGATATAACTTCGTTTTACTTCAAAACTGAAGAAACATTAATTTACCCAGGTATACAAATAACCATTTCTTCTGGAATTTAGTAACTGAAATTTTGAATTAATTATCGTTGAATCAATTGTTAATCAAATGTGGTGATTTTAAATGTGAGAATGTTGGAGTCGACTTCACTGATGTGTGCAAAGATATAATCAATTCTTGAAGAGAATAAAAAGAGTATACTATAATCTATAACTGATCACATGTCAATATTGAAAGAAATCAATTGCTCTTCAAATTAAACATGGATAGATTCATTTGATCTTTCTATTTTATCATTGCAATTCTATGTTTATAAGAGCCAATTAGAAAATCAAAAGGGAATGAGTATATGACTATCTCAAAGCAGAAAGCTATAAAATATTGTCAATTAATCTCATAAAACGGGCAAATTTAATCATTCTCTATTATTTACAACAAATAGAAAAAATTGTTATGGAAAAATAATTATTAGCAAAACTTAGGATAAGAATCTAACCAACTAAGTATTAATAAAAATCAAATTACTTTGAATAGTTTAAAAATTACATGTATGATAATAAGACAGAATTCTTTAATCTTTAAAAAAAACTGTAATTCTGTATTAATTACGCAAGAGACAGTGAAATTTTTACTGCTTTATCAATGAAACATAGCAATGTACAGGGAAAGA